CCCGAACTTAGGCGCGACTGGATTAAATGCCTTGCGGCCACGCTAGAGGCATTGAAGTTCATGTCTATTAGCCAGCGCTTGGAGGATGTCCTCATCAAATATTCTGATGTTTTTGATGAAAAACTAGGAAAATGGCAGGGATATCGGGATAGTCTCATATTGCGGCGGGGAACTCAGTCTCACTCTTTCAGGGCACGTACCTTACCTTATTCCCCGAGAACAAAGGAGGAAAACGAGATAACGAGTTTGCAATCAGCAGGAACAATCGAGCCAGTCCAATATAGTGAGGGGAGCTCCAATAATTCCAGTCCTGAAGCCGGATGGTTGTGTGCGTATTTTTGGTGATCACAAACTGTCAATCGTTATTTAACTCTCAGTAAGTATCCCTTACCTCGGATAGAGGATCTGTATGCTACGCTGGCGGGCGGACAAAAACTTACACATATTGACCTGTCACGCGTACTTACAAGTTACACGAGATCTCTCTCTCATGCACTAGGATAGATACACACATGGGTCTATACCAATACAAACGTCTGCCCTTCGGAATCAGTTCGGCCCTTGCGATATTCCAAAGGATCATTGATAAGCTGATCAAAGATATTCATTTTACTTGCGCCTATCTTGACGATATTCTAACCACAGGAAATAGAGATGCTGAATATTTAATAACTCTATCCACTGTGCTCGAACCTCTACAACAGAGTGGACTCAAAACTGAAGAAATCCACGAGTATCTTTTTCTCAGTTTCCGTTCGTTATCTTGGTTGTTGCCTCTAGGAAAATGGAGTAAAGTTGGTAGAAGACAAAGTAAAGCTCATCATTGTCGCACCCGAACCCAAGGATGAAACTGAACTCCGATCGTTTTTAAGGATGTTTTCTCACTATCGTCACCTCTTACCTAACGCTTCGACGGTATTTGCATCGTTGTACGAACTGTTGCACAATGGGAAGTCCTGGACTTGAGGTCCGGATCAAAGAAAGGCCTTCACAGATGCAAAAGAGTGCTCAGCGCCTCCTCGTGTCTCGTGCATTTCAATTCGAGCCGGCGTCTAGTGCAGCAATGTGATATTTTGCCACGCTGAGTAGGCGCAGTCCTTTGCCCCCGAACGGATGACAGTTCTCTTCGTCAAACCGCTTTTATTTCTAGTATCCCGCAACCCGCTGTAAGGAATTACTCCCAACTGGACAGGGAGGCCTTCGCATTTATTTTCAGGAGGAGATAGTTTGCTATCCACACCGACCCTAAACTATTATTTTGCTTTTGGTTGAGGAAAAAGGAACCCAACGGATGTCTTCGCCTCGAATGTAAGGGTGGACACTACTTTTGAGCGACTATAACTACCAACTTCAGTAGATAAACGGATAAAGTAGTGTCACTGCCGGTGCACTTAATAGCCTCTCGCAGCATCATGGCACAAAAACGAATAGTGAACCCATGGAGCTTATCAATTTGATACGTCTTTAAAAGACACCCAACCGCAGTGACGTGGTGCGGTGCCTGACGGACTGGGACCCTGTGTTGCCGATGGTGAAACGGCTCTTGATGAACGAATGCCTTACAAGCACGTCAGACAAACTGAAACTATTCGCCTGTCGAAGTGATAAGTTGGGTCTATAGGACGGCTATATATTTCTAGGCTCACGCATACTTCCACCAGAACAAATACGGACCCAGTTGCTGAGAGTGCTGCATGACGCACACCTCGGCGGGAACAGGATGAAGGCCCTGGCACGTGGTTAATATTGGTGACGGAACATTGACCAGGATATAAAGCAGCTGCTGAAAACTGCGAACCATGTCCGAAATACCAAAGACAGCCATCTCCCTGACCGATATGTCCGTGGCGTTGGCCGGAGAGGTCATGGCAGCGGGTACTCGCCCAATCAAAGCGGTGCTGTGCGTACTTTTGCGTAATGCCCATCCTAAATGGATGGAAGTACAGCCAGTTCCACATGCGACTTCTGCAGCAACAGTTACAAAAATGCGCTCCATGTTCGTCATTTTCGGTATCCCAGAGACGGTATGCATCCAAAACGGAACCCCATTTACCAGAGAAGAATTTCGACAGTTCCTGAGTAACATGGAATACAGCACATTATTTCTGTGCCGTACCATCCCGCGTCGAATGTAATGGCAGAATGTGAAGTCCGGAATGTTAAGCAAGGTCTCCTCAAACAGACTCATGGAACTTTGCAAACCACCTTGGATCGTCGCCTGTTCTCTTGCCGCAAGAGACCGACTGAGTCGGCACAGAAATCACCGGCGGTAGTAATGTATGGTCGGTCACTACGAACGAGACTGCACCCACTTTTTCTGAACCCACGAGAAAGAGTGGAGAAAAAGCAGGTGAAAATGTGTGTGGAGGAGAAGATGCCAGAGGAAAGGTATTAATGATTTTGATCCAGTTTACACAAGGCTGCCTCAGGAAACAAGCTGGCAACCTGCTACACTCGTCCTCAACGAGTAACCGAGCGAAGCTACAGCTGAAGGACGGCCGTGTGGTGCGTCGCCGTTTTGATTATATCCGGCCACGCTCAAACGACTTACAAGAGTGCGACCAGAAGGCGACTGCTACTGATCTAGAAGGACGGAGAATTGGCCTCACAAAACCAGTAAAAACAAACGGATACGGAGGAACCCCAATTAAGACGCTCAAAAGGCACGTCTAAGATAGTTGATCGTTATCAACCCGGAGTCTGTAGACTTGACCAGGAAAGAGATGAGTGTTACGTATGCACACGAGTATCGATTCCGGAACACAGGCCCTCACATGACTGGGTGAGAATGATCTTGCATTATTTTACTTATTTCACTGGTTTTCATTTCCGGCGATTCTACGGATTATAACGAAGGATGATCCTAATAAATCTGTTCCATCATAAGCGTACGCGTTATGTCCCTTTTCTTGACTAAAGGTAAAAATTTCATCGTATTATAGTAAATATTGCCAGAGTTCGTAGTGATACATCAGGCGACATGGTCGCTGAAATGTACCAGATGAGTTTAGCTTTCAACATTATACATGACAGTTGCCTTGTGCCTCTTTGACACGACTTAATGGCAACCTACAGAAGCATCGCCTTGCTGGTCACCAGCAACAGGCAAACACCGTGGTCGCCAGGCTCCTGAGGTTACGACCATTTACCGCAAAGTTCAGTACGAAGTCAGTGACATGGTTGAATCTCTTTTTCAGACCACCCATTGCGTTAGGTATAGAGCACTTCATTTCACCAAGTTACATCGTTTTATCATACTAATGCGGACAGTGAATAGAACAGGGAAGTGTGCATGGATTCACGCTCCTCAATGACAAATGTGCGAATGGATTGAATGCATAAAAGCGAAGACGCAATACTAACAGCAGCGGATCACTTGAAAGAGCATGTTGTAGATATGGGCTGACTCCCAATTTGTCAAGAAGCTGGGGTGGCAAATGTTCACATTGGTACGTAAAACATTAGCCTAATCTCTAACGACAACCGTGGAGCCACGATACATCGTACCTGCATTTTAGGCTTTTTAAGAATTGTGGCTCGCAAATATGTATTTCCAGTTTGTTTCTGGTGTACTATTGCTCATGATATCGTTTTGAATCCATTCAAATGCTCCCATTCTCCTAACTCATCCAGATGGAAATCAATCCATATCTTGAAAAGTGTAGACTCGGAAACTGTCAAATGAACCGGCTGGATGTCATTAGATGGTGATCTAGTCGCAGCTAGGTTCACGTTGGAAAACTGGGCGTCAAGTACCACTGACTGCATGGTGTTAAAATTTCAAACCAGCAATGAGTCTTGAGGAGGAGAATGGACGCAAAGTGCTTAATGGGCTTCTACTTGTTGGCTGGCTTACAATGAAGCTGTTTGAAAACTATCATCCCGTACTTTTTTCTGGCATATTGATTATTAGAGTAAAACTCTGATTGCTACGTGAATCACAGAACTCCGAAAAGACACTTATCTCTTTTATATTGGCAAAAGTACATTGGTAATCATAATGGATATGTAGTGCCGCTCCTACTCCATTGGTGGTTCAACTGAATCTGCCACCAATACTTTCTGCTATGCACTGAAACGAGCAGGCAGCGCTTGCAACAATAAGACAACGCACGAATGTTTTCCAGTAGTGCATTCAGTATGCACTCCTCCATCACACATCATACTGGGGAGGTGATAAATGTATTGGATGTTCAGCAGAGTACGCTAGTCGTTGTTCAGTGGCAGTGTCAACTAGTGAAGGCCATACAGAAACCTGTCAAGAAGGAAAGCTGACTACGTACTGCGCTTACCTTTCACCATCAACTATGTCTTCCAACATGCCAGATTACAACCACGATTCAACGTGATGCTTTGGATTCGGTTATTGCGAGAGTTCCCTACAGCATCTCGGAATGTCTAAGGTGTATACTAGGACATTTGACTTACATTTTCACTGATGAGGCCGTGTCGCATCACAGAGTAAATCTCGTACATCTTGTTCGCTGGTTCGATTGTCGTGTGTATCAGAACCAGAGTGAATCTTTCAAGGTATTCGACAATAAAACAACGATTGCCTACTTCAGTTAAACTAAGGTTCGATGACTCAGCGACTGTGACCCAGCAACTGTGAACAGACTGGTGATCGCTCGAGTCGGACGAGTCTGGATGATGTCCACAACTTGGGTGGTATCAGTGACCGCATTTGCCAAGGTTTACTTCAAAGTATAACGTAATTCTAATTGAAGTTTTGTGCGGATATCCATACACTTCGTAAGCATTCCAGAATCCAGCCATAGTGATCATCGCCGTCCAATCGGAATGCACTTGGGTTCTTTATGCAAACAGCTGCAACGAGAGCGAATTATTATAATTCAGACAATCCGGTTGAAATTTATTGGCAATTTGAGGAGAGATAATTCCAAGTGATGGATATCAGGAAGCATCACGACTCATCGCTGACAGTGAAGGATTAAGTTCTTAGTAGATTTTTGAGCTAAACTGACCTAGATTTATATGAAATGGGAAAAGCGATGACAAGTGAGCAATTTGTCTTTCAGGTCCTCAACCTCTGGCTAGTGGATTTGGTAAGACTTCCGCATTTTTGTATTTACAATCGAGTTACTGCGAAGCCAACAAGTTATATTTCCCATGAAAATGAGGCGCACCCAAGGTTTGGAAATTAAGTCTTGCTTCTAGATTAGAGTTAAGTAACCAGTGATCTCTTTGAAGTGTCACTGGGATGGAGAATGTTACTAGTTTGGTGAAGCTCGATGAGTGAACCTCGTGCACTGAGTCCAGATAGAGTCCGAGTACAAACTAGTGAGTCACTGATTGCAAGTTTGCAGCACATTCACACTAATACGAATTTCGAGACGCAGTACGAGGTCAACTGCGAGGCAGGTCGAATCGCCGTGTCAGTAAAATGACGGCGATGCGAAACGAACCCCAGGTGAAACAGCCGATTTCCACTTAACTAATGAGAACCACGACTTTTGTAAAAGAAGGATAACGTTGCCACACAGATAGTTACTTAGTGTTTGAATGGTGTTAATGCAAGCGCATATAGATTTCGTGGTATTACATTAATGTTTTTTGAGGATTACTATTTTCACATCCGACGACATGGTCGCTGATATGTAGCGCATGATTTTAGCTTTCAGCATTACACATGACAGTTGCCTTGTGCCTCTTTGACACAACCTTATTGCAACGTGCTTTTGATCTTTGTTTATCCCCCCTGTGTATTCCGGTATCTAGCTATGTTGATCGCCTCATTGTGAGCGATATGCACTCGGGTTATTTTTATGCAAATTGCTCTAACGAATTCGGATTTTTGGAATTCCGACCATGCAGTTGAAATTTATTAGGGCTTTGTTATGATAGAATCTCGTATGAAATTAAAGATAGTTTTCTTGCTCGTTGTGGAATTGTGAATATATGTTTAGGTCATCTACCACTTTTGTTCATTATATTTTATATACTGATTGCTGGTAGTCTTTCAGATGCGAAAAGTTTTTGGCTTGTGATCTGCTGAGCTTATAGCTTACTTGATTGTTCTCTGCAAACTGGATTCCTGTGTGCGTAATGGCATAGCCATCATTCACTTGAGCTCCTGATTTGTGAGAATCTTCCTTCCGTTGGCTTTTGGAATTCGCATCTGACTGCTTACTAGGGTTGAAGCGGGAGCCCTTGGGATTCACTCAGTTGGGAGAACAGTGACCACAAATCCATCTCAGAAACGATGGATGATGATGCAGTGGCAAGTCAAGTTGTCTCCGTCAGGATGCATGCGTTAGATGACACCAGTTAGCGAGTCCCACTCACCAAATTCATGCACTCTCGTGCATGCGCTCGTGTGTGTACGATACTACGAACACCAATCACGTGTAATTACATGCGACCAAGACGATATATTAAATGACGATAGTCAGGAGCACAGCCCTCCTTTCGCACTGACACTAAGGCAAGTCTTTCAACTCGCCAGTCTGAAGTGATAACGAATTACCCCAACAGTATTTGCACCATGCGTGTCTATTAGTGGCGTAGTTTCTCCGGCCAACTTGAGCACCGAAGCTCCTAGTAGGTCTTACCTTGTGCTGTAATTGTACGCTGCTTGCAACACACGTGATATGCGAATAGCTGCAGCGTTCGCAGGTTCACGCAACAGATTGCTGTTCATACTTGGCTGAGGATAGCGCTGCGATTAGTAAAGTATCATCGACCAAAGGTTGATCATTATTAATGTATACTGGCTCTCGGAGTCGGGGTCCCCAGTAAGGAGAAGATATGAAAGAGGAGCGCTAATTAATCAAAGGAGTGTAATATTTTTTGTCTTCCTTCCCTGAGGTAGTACCACTGGACCACTAAGTTACAAAAAGGAGAAACGGGTACTGGGCTTCATTCTCTCCGTAGAGAATCAGCTTCCCGATATTTCTATTGCACCGACATCACAAGGGATTTATTTCTGTTTATTATGTCCGAATGACTCGTAGCTATCAGAACAGAACCAAGGTGGATCACCTAAAATTTCCCCCTTTATGGGTGCATAAAATCGAATTCTTTATTTGAGTTGACTAGAGATCTGTCAATTTTATCAAGATTTTCACATATACCATTCGTCCGCGGCATATCCAAACTCTGCGTAGCACGACCCTTAGAAGTAATATAAAGTGGAACAGACGCGCCCACAACAACAGTGCCCTAATACCGAGACCAAATGTGACCGAAAGACAGCCGTTGACATAATTACGCAAGGTAGCTTTGCACACATGTATTATGTGAAAGGCATGCTGTCAACGCTGTAGACGAAAGAATTACCATGAAAAGCGCAGCCAGCATTTCAAGATCATAGTGCGATGATCACATCAACTGCGTCTTCTGGCGTTGTGTTAAATACTCATCCAGAAAATGCTGTCGTGTGAAAGATTTGTGTCTCACAGCAGTTAACACATTACTACCTATTAGTAGATTGGCTTTATAAATGGATTTTTGGTGACTCATTTCAGGATACCTTGGTGGAAGTCCTTTCGGTAAGTTATGCTGATAGCTGGACACGCGTTCATGATTTCTTTCGATGAGGTCGCGGTTTTATTTGCTGTGATCTTTTGTGCATTTTCTCATTTATGTGTCATCGCTGGGTGTGTGTGAGAGGAAAAGCACTCATCGATTTAACCGCATAAGGTGTAACGATGTTCTGGTGTATTCAGGTGGCATGCAAACGCGGAATTAGGCTATGCTGGGGATTTTTGCAACAGTTGTGAAACGCCGATTGGAGTTGAAAGTTAGAAGCAAAATTTCTGCACTATTTAACATATGCTGGCGTTTACCATCCTTTTCTTCTTGTTCACCATTCCATCCGAATTCCCGAAGATAACGATACCATGATTGGGATTTTTTCATACATTGTCCACTGATATTACCTTACGATCGCTACTAGCTGATATCATGGCGACGTCAGTCCGGCAAACTGGTGTTCTCGCAAAACTGTTTGACTCATATTTGATTCCCTGAAAGAAACCGAAGTTACAGTTTATTGCCAAGTTGTTCTATTGCACACAGGAATTCATAGTGCGATAGCTGATTAGATTGCATTACAGTACTAAATACCAAACATTCTATCTGAACGTCAGTTGCATTTCCCAGGTACGAGACATTGGATGCACGACAGATTTCGACAAAGCATCCTGAAAAGCATCTTGAAAATGTCGTACTCTAAAATCCGTATTTATTTCCGACTGAACATGTACCACCAGTACCGATGCATTGGGTTGAATACCTGTCCACCGCAATCATGCTGAGTGGTATCTTTTGAGCTTAAGTAAGTACAGTCAATATCGAGGTCTGATGTATAGAGATAAGAGGCAGAAAAGGAAGGGGTGACAGGTCTCTCTAGTTGTAGCTTGGAGAGTTGTGACTCGCCCGATGAAGCATGCATTCAGGAGCGCAGGACCCAATTAATCGATTGCTTGAAAGTATCTCCTCTTATGCACTGAATTTGAATGGTACCAGTGCATCCGCTTTACCATCAATCAAGTTCTTTGATGATGATTAGTTGCGCTCGTTGCCCTCCGTTAGTATATTATCTGGCTCTCACCAAGTCATTTTTGTTCGTCGCAATCAGCCGACAATTCAGATATGTTGACCAGCTATCCGGAAAAGCACCAGACAGCCGTTTCGCCCTGTTGGGGCTTATCAGTGGTGCGCATCCTTCGGTCCTCTGCGGAGGATCGAACCCATGACTCCTAGTGGCTCTTCCCAACTAGCCCGCAGCTTATGCAACTGCGCCATGGAGGACGGTATCTGACTATCGTGAATTGTTAGCTAAATGCGAAATATCCTGACCCATCCTCCACTGCCATGCAGCCACCTGCCATGCGGATGACAGCGGTTGGCCTTCCGGCGTCAGGACTTCCCGGTTACGGCAGCCATGAATCGACATAGTATTTTGTGGAATCCGTAAGGGCGAATTGGTGTTACTTATGAGTGGAAGGATTTTGGTGAGTATTTTTGTTCGTCGCAATCAGCCGACAATTCAGAAATGTTGACCAGCTATCCGAAAAAGCACCAAGCGGCCGTTTCGCCCTATTGGGGCTCATCAGCGGTGCACATCCTTCGGTCCTCTGCGGAGGATCGAACCCATGACTGCTAGTGGCACTTGCCAACTAGCCCGCAGCTGATTGCGACGAACAAAAATACTCACCAAAATCCTTCCACTCATAAGTCTCACCAAGTCAGTTGGCTGAGCCATAAACGTGAACGGGTCCCACTTTTAAGTGAGAAGAAAATCTTCAGTTTTAATGGCTTTATCACATGAAAGAACTTTGTTGTATAAATTTGTCAAAATAATGGTTCCGACTGTTGGGTCAATCAGATTACCGGAAAGCTAAATTATTTTTATCTTCAACTTTTAGCACGAGGGTTTTTCCAAACCACCCCCACGACAACAACGACAACAACGACTACAACAACCACGACCCAAGCAACTACGGCCGCGTGGGAATACCAAGAAGTGGACTCGGATGACTCATGTGCGTTCACTTCGGTAATTTAATGCATTGAACCACCTACATAGGTACTTCCTTGGCTACCATGTTCACAAGAGGAGGAGTTGGGAAAAATCTAACTACTTAAGCTATTCCTTAAGTAATGAAGGGCGCAGAGGAGAGATATTAGCTGCCTTCAACAAACGTCTCTTTAGGTAGTCACACAAGCGTAGGTAGCAGGCGGTCTACTTCGGATTCAGCGTAGTTTTGTCCCTCCTGATAACGGCCTTTGTTCAGAAGTACCCACTCATGAATTCTGCCGAGAAGTGAACCATAGGCGGTGACAAGCGTTGTGAAGCTGCTTCCAGTGATTATTAGTAACTGCGCGACATGGGCTGTGTAAGGAGATAGAGGCTACCATTAAAATCGATGCTTATGTTGCTATGGTTAGAGGAGAGTTCATCGTACCCGATGTATTACTTATGAATGTATAGAAGATAACACCGGTAAGCCAACTTAATGGAAGCAGTCAATGAGTTTCTAATTGGGCTCCTTCAGCTCTGTCGAAGGTAATTGGATAACCCATGGTTCCAACATACTTGCGAACCTAACTGTGGTCAGGGTGTTATTCGGACGCATTTCCTGCGGCACAGAATTAAAAACCATTGCCTAATACGAAGAGGATATTAGTCACACTGGTGATTGATGTCCAGAAAGCAGGTTTAGCCACTAAACAACTTGCGCCTAAAGCTGTCCATCTCAGCACCGGACCAAAAGGGACATAATTAAATTTTTACCGCAATAGCCCTTCCTCGGTTAGGATACATTTGAGCAAACCCTTCGGCCAAAATCAACGTGTTCTGTCCCTGCCCGCAAAATTCCGTGCATTCATCTGACCGAAATATGTCCAATGGCCTTTCAAATTGCCTATATACAGATGCCAAATGATATCTCCGATGCCTGAATTCAAATCCGGGCAGAGGTTTGTCGCCTACAGTCTAATGAGACCGTGTGAATACCTCTAATGTGTCCGAAGAAAGATGTATCTGGTTAACTGAAGCTGGTTCCCATTCTGACACTGCGTTAGGTGGAAGACTGCCGAACTATTCGTTTTAAGTAAGATTACTATGGTAACCATGAGAACTACAGTGCTTGGGGCAACCGGTTTCTTTGGACAGCAACACATAAGCACAACAGTGACTATTCTTTATTTGGACAACTCTCAGGCTTGTTGGTTCCAGAGGGCGAATCCTAGGTACTAATACCTTTTTTGTAGTCTGCGTGCAACATGGCGATTCATGACAGGTTCGTAGCAACGTGAGCGGTTCATGTGAAAACAGAAGAAGCTCAGAACGAAATCATAGGTCCTCGTGACAATCTAGTGTCCCATTTTTGTGATTATCCCCCCGAAGCACCTCAACTAGGGCCACTGAGTTCTGTTGGTAATTTTTATCAATATGTTAGGCGGCCACTTTTCGGCTTCGTATGGATTAAAGCCTTTATGGCTTCCAACAATTTGAGGACATCTGAGGTAGAAACGGTTGGTACATTGTGCTCGAAAATTTGATCATATGCTGGAAATCCTAAACTATGAATTATGATAACAATACGTATATTTCCCGGCTGTACAAGAAGCTCTTCCCGGACTGTGGACATGTCATGGGTACAATAATTCGCGTGCTCATGCATGAGCGAGATGTGTATTCTGGGGTGCGTGATATCAAAACAATTTGGGAGCACATAACTTTTGTTGTTGTTGACTTTTGTGTACCACCTTTACTCATTGATCATATATTCGTAAGTAATATGGGGTTTTTGTGTAGGCTCGTCGTAGTTAGACACAGGCAGACAGCCACCAGACATCCAGGAAAGCGCTTTCCTGATTATATATTCCTTAGTCCATCTTGGAAGAACTTGTATGATGATTTACCTGATGGAAACATGGTCATTATCGCATTCTGGTCCAGGAATTTGCAAAGGTGTATGTGGAATGATCTTGCATTTCTGCAAGACCTGATTGTGGCTGGTACGCTATTCCACACGACAGCGTACCTGACGAGGAAGAAGTTAGATCGGACAGCTGTCCTGGTTCTGGGTACAGTTAATGTACAGGTCTTGTTGCGCATATTCCGAGTGAAGTTACGTTGTAGTTAATGTGTACACAGATTGGAGTATGTCTTTTGGTTTGTGTGGTTGTGTATCAGCATCAGGTTATATTTCAGTCGTCGCAAACAATGAGGTTCGAGCTTAAGCTGCTGGCAGCGCTCTTGATAACTCAAGGTGGTTGATTTACTGAACAAGCGCTTAGTGAATGTTCTTTGCAGGTTATCCAAAGCTTTCCTATCACTCATACGCATGTTCCCATGGATGCTACTGCAGTATTCAAGGACAGGAAGTGTAAGTATTTTGAAAAGCTCGATTCTGGCAGGGGTTGTATAGTTTTTATGGCATGTATTGGCCATAGATTGTTTGGCACATACTATTTGTACTCAGCTTGATCTGAGAAATTAAAGTTTGAAGAGTATCATATGCCTACATCACAGTTGGATAGTTTCACACAGATACCTTCACTGTTCAGTTTAACAGACTCTTCAGGGATCAACTATCCGTGTGACATAATGCGTGATAAAGCAATCATGATATGCAACGTTATTTGAGTATCTAAGGCACAAAGTTTCTTCTGAGCGCGATAGTTCTAACTGCTGCATCTTACTACTCTTGTTGCTTTTAGAACTCCAACTATGAAAATGATGCCAATGAAAGTCCTCTGATGGCTTTTGATCTTATATTTGCTAATGTGTTAACTAAAGCAATAAAAGCGATTGTGGTAAACTCTTTCGTTTTAACGGGAAATTGCTTCATGTGAGCAGTCGCGATACTTCCCAGTCTTACAGTCATACCTAATAACAAGCCAAGCGGTCGACTTCGTTAAACATTATATGCTTGTCAATTAGTGGGTAAGCTCAGCTGTGCATAAAATCAAACCAACATAGCCAATCGTAGAAAGTGAAGACTACTAGTTAACTTTTGTTTTTTTAGATAACTCATTCCTGGTAACCAGCAACCTGTTTATGATAAAAGATAGTGATGAAAGGGATCCGAAGTGGTCAAAGGGATGGAAGAATGGTTAGAGTAGCAATAGGAAAACAGATTACCCAGTTAAATTTCCAACCAGGTTCATGGATCAAGGGCACCAAAATGAAGCTTAACCGATTCATCACTTGTAGGAAACTTGCTACCTATGGCAGCGTATTTAGTCCAGTGGGAAACTGCTGTATCAGTAATAACACATCTGACTTGATTAATAATAAATACTGTGTCAGCTGTGCACCGAAACGGCGCTTCACTGCCGTGCGACCACCACCAGTCGCACGCGGACGGAGTATAACGTAAGTACGCCCACCTCTACGCAGATTGAAACCCGCGTCACAAGATTACGAGGCAAGCTCGTTGCCTCTAGTCTACGGACGGACATCTGCCTTGAATATGTTGGTTTGGAAAACCAGTTGCATCTCTGCTTGCATTGAGAACCACATTTAATTGTGGGTCTTAATGCGAATGAAACAGAGCTGTCCTGAAAAGTGCAGGATTAGATTGATGGAGGCCACAATTTTACCCTAATAGATTCATAAATAAGCCAATTTCCCTATAAAATACCCAGATACAGACTTGCCAGGTGCCATTTACATAACGCTTAAAGAGTGAAAAAAACATAAAGGACAGCTATTTCATTACAAAAGTTGGTTTTATCGCCTGATGGTGCATTTCACCATTTAATTGAGATGTCTGTCGCTGCTCTGTAGTTTGTTCAGTAGTTTCAAAACAGAGCAACCATTCAAATCGAGCGGGAGCCTGAGTTCACCTAGTCACTCACATGCTCGTCTGCGTTCGACATCTCACATGGACAAAACTGACCCAGCCACTTCATCGGGCTGATAAGTAAGAACCGCAAACAACTTGGGTCCGCACTCTCAAGTACTCAATTTTATGGAAAAAAGCTCATTTCTATCCATAGCTGCACATGATCGACGTCATATATGGGTTTAAACACGGGTGTTGGCCAAAATTGACTCGTATGAAGCCGCTTAACCTTAATAAATCTTCATGTTGCAGGTTCTAACGATGAGAGCCACGTAAAATGCTGGATAACTAACGGATGCATCACTTAGTTTGAACAATACAACGGTGTTAGTGTTCAGGATAAGGTTCCCGTTCAAATTTGAAGTAAGTATTTCAACGTACTAAAATATGTTAGGGATGTGGATGTGTTTTAAAGTAGCAAGATGGATAAAAGGAGTTATCGTTGGATAGACAGCCTAAATGATGCAGTGTAATCAGTTCAAGGGGCGAGTAGAGAGTATGTTGAAGATTTTTATGCGTCTTATTTTCCCCTTACTAGTGGAATACTTTTGTGAGGATGAGCTAATGATCTTAAGATCACCCTTGAATTATGAGATAAGAGTGAGCTAGCAATGACCATCTAAAATAGATACAAGAAAATCAGGCTAAAGGCAACGCACTCTCGATTTCAGTCGAGTATCTGGGCATCCATATACCTAAGCGGTGATTTCGATTTACCTCAAACTTAGTCTATATTTCTCCCTTAACGCGCAGAGAAACATTGTCAAAAGGACTAAGCCAAGGCAGCTAAAATCACAAAAAGTAAGTCGTTTTCACTTGTTAAGTGAAAAAGCAGTTTTAGTTAGTCTTGAGGGAGTGTTTTGTACGCTAATGTTTCACGCAGTCCTTAGAAAAAAGTTCATGGTCGTTTAATGACAGTTGTAGACAAGATACACACAGTATGGTAGGTCAAACGGTCAGGGAGTGGATCTGCTGCTGTATGAAACTCAATTGCTCTCTCACTTCAGCCGTAAAATCCTGGCTCAGGTTTTGCAGCAGGCCGGACAGGGAAGTTCTAGAGGCATGGCAGCGCACAGACTTATGTATTGACTCTACCACAGTGGTTTCTGGGGTCATGCACAAGCAAGGAGTAAACTCATCAGTGAGTACGGATTGTTGGTTGTTTTCGTGATTAGCGCGATAATGCTGAGTGAAAACAACGTTTTTATACCAGGTCAGCGAAAACACTAACCGTTGTTAACACGCCGAGCCATACAAGGCCACAGTGGAGTCAGGATCAGGAAAAGTGTGCGGACAGTGAAACGTGGGTCGACAGTGAACTAAATTAAGCAAGCGCTTAAGATAATGCTGAGTGTGCTAACCAGGAAGGTTCCAACTTCGCAGATCTAGCAACTGGAAAAATAAAAATTTAATTTACTCCGTCCGTGTGTATCAAGGGAATATACCTCTATAGTGGCCTTGAATGATAAGGAAAAAACCAGCGTTCAAATAGACATTCTGTGAACATGTTGCTTTGTCAACATCCCACGTTCAATTTTGTCACAAAACGTGTGTTCACAAAAATTCGACCAAGAATAATCCGCGCTAATTATACCACAAATCGAGTGATATGAGCCTTAACGCAGTTTGTCAATCAGATACTCATTAATTTTCGCCCGCAATGAAGAAAATGTAACCAAATACTCATCTAAATCTAATCCAGATCGCACTGAGTGGTCAGCCGTGGACTTCGCATGAGAGACCTTACGTACGGGTGCGTACATGTGGAATATGTGAGCCGTGAAAAGATTTCGGGGTCATTACGCCCAATAACCTGAGCGGGACAACATGATAGCCAAACTGCAGACATCACACGCACCTGACATGCGTGGGCATAACTTTAGTTCCGAAGCGTCAAAGGGATTTCTGGCGTCTGACTTATAAGTGGAAACCTCCATACGGTTCCGATAGTCCGTCTCTGGTCAGCGGAGTTGTCACTTCCGCTTTCACCAGTTTGGTTGCACGCAAACCGCACGCAGCGAGGTAGGCGAAAAGAAAATCTTCCTCATAGTTCACCTACCAAGATTGTCTTTAATTTGATTTAGATGGTCTTTGAAAATTTAGATCACATTACGCGCGACGGGAAGAAGAGGAATGTACACCCGTCATCCGTCTGATGTGAAGGATCTTATCCTGAAGACATATGAAGTGGGCGACGACTGGAAGGGCATTGCATCTCTTATTACACGTAAGCGTGAATACATACAGAATTTGGATTAGAACATTAGAATTGAATGATGCGACAAGGGATCGAAGCGCGTCACGTCACAAGTGTCTGTCAGACACTCACGTGGATTGCTTGGTGGAATGGGTGGAATCAGAGCCTACGGTTACCTTGGCAACTCTTCGGTTACGACTGAAGGTGGAGTTCAAGATGGACGTGAGCGTCAGCACAATCGCTGGCTACCTATACGGTCGACCCATGACTGAATAAATCATATGCGATACCTGAATCCCTGAACACGATGGATAGCAAGAGGCTGAAGAAGTCGCACGTGTTGAACTTGATGAAGTTGGAGTCAGAAGGACGGTGAGCGATATGGATAGATGAGACGAACTTTAATCTCTCCTGCGCTCGCACAAGAGGACGCTCAGCACGTGACACCCGTGCACATTGCACGGTACCGAACACGGAGACAAACTCTGCACCTGATCAGCGCGATGAATGAGGATGGATTGCTCGGATGTTATGTTCTAAGAGGCAGTTAAAATAAAGAAGGATGTGCGCGGTGGTTGCGGCTACTGCTTGAAAACAATGGCATCATTCCCGCCGAAAGATGTCTCCTTATTTGTGATAACGCACCGTGTCACACCTATCTGGATCGTACGTTCTAAGAGGAGCCTTACAGCGCAGGAAGACTTCTACGACGGGCACCGTACTCTCCGCAAGTGAACCCACTCGAAGGCATTTGGAATATCACTAAGACCTAGGTTAAACAAACCATGAGGCGGCAGTATTCCGAATTGCTCCGAGGGGATCCGGATGTTGTACTGAGCAAGAGTGAATGGAGGATACAGTTGTTGGAACAGGTTGTTGCAGAAGCACCTGTCTGCGTGACGCTGCACTAGTGTCAACAAATGGTACAGCGTGTACGAAATCACTATACATGTGCTTTGCACCTACTCGATCTGTAACCCGTTCAACACCACTGAAATGTTTATTGTTAACGTTCACCGATGTTTTCGTTTAACAGCAATGTGGGGTCACCACGAGTGGGGTACACCGTGGCTTTCAGTTGGAATTGCCTCCGGCTCTGCGAAGATTTATTCGGGGATAGCAACAGTTACTGTAAACTACGGTTACAGTGGGTTCTTGCTGCAGTGATGGACCACGTGTTGTTACCCGGTCGGTATGTAGTACATTGTGAGCTACCGATAGTGCGAAGACATGTCACACGCTGTTCCAAATAACTTAGGCGAAATTGTACACGTTCCTGGGCGTATATCCGGTGTAAACCCGAAGGAATAAGACCGGGAGGTATGCGGATGGGAGCCACGTTTCATCAACATAGCCGGCCCACACTCCTTCGCAGGCAAACACAAGCACGCTGTATTTGGGAATCAAGCGCACACAAGGCGGTGGCTGGACCGTAGTCCGCTCCACACTGACTGCATGGAACCAGTCTTTGATCCTGACACGGCCACAAGGACCGTGCAAACCGTCCCCTCCAGCAACGACCAACTGTCTCCTGGAGCCAGTATGGACGAGGTAGTGGGTAACAGACAGGTAGGCACCTTGTCAACATGCACATCAAGCGCAGCCACACCGGGGATATCAAACAACAGTCAAACACTTGAGAGAGATAGAAAGAAAAAGAGAAAAACTCGATTAATGCATAAGGAAACGGTGATATAAACCTTAATTAAATAGCATATGTGAGAAGTTGTTTACAAACAAATCCTAGCTAAGTGCACGAGGTCAGGAAGTATAGTTCACGGAATGCCACGAACGCAAAAATGTTATGG